ACAAGCAATGAAACAGGCTGTTACACTGCCTGTACTACAAGCAATGAAACAGGCTGTTACACTGCCTGTCCTACAAGCAATGAAACAGGGCTGTTACACTTCCTGTCCAACAAGCAATGAAACAGGCTGTTACACTGCCTGTCCTACAAGCAGTGAAACAGGCTGTTACACTGCCTGTCCTACAAGTAGTGAAACAGACGGTTACACTGCCTGTCCTACAAGCAATGAAACAGGCTGTTACACTTCCTGTCCTACAAGCAATGAAACAGGCTGTTACACTGCCTGTCCTACAAAGCAGTGAAACAGACGGTTACACTGCCTGTCCTACAAGCAATGAAACAGGCTGTTACACTTCCTGTCCTACAAGCAATGAAACAGGCTGTTACACTGCCTGTCCTACAAGGAGTGAAACAGACGGTTACACTGCCTGTCCTACAAGCAATGAAACAGGCTGTTACACTGCCTGTCCTACAAGCAATGAAACAGGCTGTTACACTTCCTGTCCTACAAGCAATGAAACAGGCTGTTACACTGCCTGTCCTACAAGCAGTGAAACAGGCTGTTACACTGCCTTTTCCTACAAGGAGTGAAACAGACGGTTTACACTGCTGTCCTACAAGCAATGAAACAGGCTGTTACACTGCCTGTCCTACAAGCAATGAAACAGGCTGTTACACTTCCTGTCCTAAAAGCAATGAAACAGGCTGTTACACTTCCTGTCCTACAAGCAATGAAACAGGCTGTTAACTGCCTGTCCTACAAGCAGTGAAACAGGCTGTTACACTGCCTGTCCTACAAGCAATGAAACAGGCTGTTGCACAGCCTGTCCTACAAGCAGAGAAACAGGCTGTTACACTGCCTGTCCTACAAGCAGAGAAACAGGTTGTTACATTGCCTGTCCTACAAGCAGTGAAACAGGCTGTTTCACTGTCTGCAGGACAGGAACTGAAACAGGCTGTTTGACAAGCACTTTACATAATAACTTCGCGGCCCGGGGTGCCACAGCTGGCCAGGTCGTTGTTTGACTGACACTACATTATAACCTCTGGCGGGAGTGCCAGACACACCTCCAGAATAGCCACACTAAAAGCAGACAACAAAATTATGAGGCATTCAATAATATATTTAAAACCTGACTTCTGGACAGTGATATATATATATACACCAAGTTTGTGTATAGGCCCTTATATACTAGTTAATGACCCTTATATACTAGTTAATGGCCCTTATATACTAGTTAATGGCCCTTATATACTAGTTAATGGCCCTTATATACTAGTTAATGGCCCTTATATACTAGTTAATGGCCCTTATATACTAGTTACAGGTCCTTATATACTAGTTACAGGTACTTATATACTAGTTACAGGTTCTTATATACTAGTTAATGGCCCTTATATACTAGTTAATGGCCCTTATATACTAGTTAATGGCCCTTATATACTAGTTAATGACCCTTATATACTAGTTACAGGCCCTTATATACTAGTTAATGGCCCTTATATACTAGTTACAGGTCCTTACATACTAGTTACAGGCCCTTATATACTAGTTACAGGCCCTTATATACTAGTTACAGGTCCTTATATACTAGTTACAGGCCCTTATATACTAGTTACAGGCCCTTATATACTAGTTACAGGCCCTTATATACTAGTTACAGGTCCTTATATTTAGTTACAGGCCCTTATATACTAGTTATAGGTTCTTATATACTAGTTACAGGTCCTTATATACTAGTTAATGGGCCTTATATACTAGTTAATGGCCCTCATATACTAGTTACAGGTCCTTATATACTAGTTACAGGTCCTTATATACTAGTTACAGGCCCTTATATACTAGTTACAGGCCCTCATATACTAGTTAATGGTCCTCATATACTAGTTACAGGTCCTTATATACTAGTTGCAGGTCCTTATATATTAGTTACAGGTCCTTATATACTAGTTACAGGTCCTTATATACTAGTTACAGGTCCTTATATGCTAGTTACAGGTCCTTATATACTAGTTACAGGTCCTTATATACTAGTTACAGGTCCTTATATACTAGTTACAGGTCCTTATATACTAGTTACAGGTCCTTATATATTAGTTACAGGTCCTTATATACTAGTTATAGGTCCTTATATACTAGTTACAGGTCCTTATATACTAGTTACACGTCCTTATATACTAGTTAATGGCCCTTATATACTAGTTATAGGTCCTTATATACTAGTTACAGGTCCTTATATACTAGTTACAGGTCCTTGTATACTAGTTACAGGTCCTTATATACTAGTTACAGGTCCTTATATACTAGTTATTGGCCCTTATATACTAGTTACAGGTCCTTATATACTAATTACCGGTCCTTATATACTAGTTGCGGGTCCTTATATATTAGTTACAGGTCCTTATATACTAGTTACAGGTCCTTATATACTAGTTATAGGTCCTTATATACTAGTTACAGGTCCTTATATACTAGTTAATGGCCCTTATATACTAGTTACAGGTCCTTATATACTAGTTACCGGTCCTTATATACTAGTTGCGGGTCCTTATATATTAGTTACAGGTCCTTATATACTAGTTACAGGTCCTTATATACTAGTTAGAGGTCCTTATATACTAGTTACAGGTCTTTATATACTAGTTACAGGTCCTTATTTACTAGTTACACGTCCTTATATACTAGTTAATGGGCCTTATATACTAGTTAATGGCCCTTGTATACTAGTTACAGGTCCTTATATACTAGTTAATGGCCCTTATATACTAGTTACAGGTCCTTATATACTAGTTACAGGTCCTTATATACTAGTTACAGGTCCTTATATACTAGTTAATGGCCCTTATATACTAGTTACACGTCCTTATATACTAGTTACAGGTCCTTATATACTAGTTAATGGCCCTTATATACTAATTACAGGTCCTTATATACTAGTTACAGGCCCTTATATACTAGTTACAGGTCCTTATATACTAGTTACAGGTCCTTATATACTAGTTACAGGTCCTTATATACTAGTTAATGGCCCTTATATACTAGTTACAGGTCCTTATATACTAGTTACAGGTCCTTATATACTAGTTACAGGTCCTTATATACTAGTTACAGGTCCTTATATACTAGCTACAGGTCCTTATATACTAGTTACAGGTCCTTATATACTAGTTACAGGTCCTTATATACTAGTTAATGGCCCTTATATACTAGTTACAGGTCTTTATATACTAGTTACAGGTCCTTATTTACTAGTTACACGTCCTTATATACTAGTTAATGGGCCTTATATACTAGTTATAGGTCCTTATATACTAGTTACAGGTCCTTATATACTAGTTACAGGTCCTTATATACTAGTTACAGGTCCTTATATACTAGTTAATGGCCCTTATATACTAGTTACAGGTCCTTATATGCTAGTTACAGGTCCTTATATACTAGTTACAGGTCCTTATGTACTAGTTACAGGTCCTTATATACTAGTTACAGGTCCTTATATACTAGTTACAGGTCCTTGTATACTAGTTACAGGTCCTTATATACTAGTTACAGTCCTTATATACTAGTTAATGGCCCTTGTATACTGTTACAGGTCCTTATATACTAGTTACAGGTCCTTATATACTAGTTACAGGTCCTTATATACTAGTTACAGGTCCTTATATACTAGTTACAGGCCCTTATATACTAGTGACAGGCCCTTATATACTAGTTACAGGTCCTTATCTACTAGTTACAGGCCCTAGTCTCCTTGTTATAGGTCCTTATATCCTAGTTATAGACCCTTATCTACGTTATAGGTCCTTATACACTAGTTATAGGCCCTAATCTACTTGTTATAGGTCCTTATACACTAGTTATAGACCCTAATCTACTTGTTATAGGTCCTTATATTCTAGTTATAGACCCTTATCTACGTTATAGGTCCTTATACACTAGTTATAGACCCTAATCTACTTGTTATAGGTCCTTATATTCTAGTTATAGACCCTTATCTACGTTATAGGTCCTTATACACTAGTTATTGACCCTAATCTACTTGTTATAGGTCCTTATATACTAGTTACAGGCCCTTATCTATTGGTTATAGGAGTTTTCATACTAGTTATAGGCCCTTATATACTTTATCTACCTTATCTATCAGTTACAGTGTATTTCTCAATGTACGTACACTAAGAGATATACATCACTCTATATGTTCTCTGTAAACAAACCATACCACGGGCGGTATTTGAACCCACGGTCAGAGTCTCAAAACTCCAGACCGTCGCGTTAGTCACTGGACCAGCTAGCCAGTGGCTAACGCGACGGTCTGGAGTTTTGAGACTCTCTGACCGCGGGTTCAAATCCCGCCCGTGGTATGGTTTATTTGCAATTGTGTCAATACGATTTCGTGAGTTATGTTCTCTGTAGTTACACTGAGAAGTGTATATACACTGTAAGGTGTATATGAATGTATATACAATGAGCGGTGTATATCTCTCACTGTATATACACTGACAAATGTACATCACACAGTGTTTACACACTGGAAGGAGTGAATCTCTCAGTGTATATTCACTGAGAGATGTATATTATACAGTGTATATACAAGTTAAATATATATTCCTGTGTACATACACTGACAGATGTATATCAGTTAATAGACACTGAGAGATGTATATATGCACTGAGAGTTTACATCCCTCCCACTTTAGGGGTTCAAAGAATATCTCCCTACGTGTTTAAACTGAAGAAAAATAAATCGCTCTTAAAACTAGGAGAGTTACCCTTTAGAATTTAAAGGTAAACTTAAATGTAAAACGAAGGAACCTTAAAACCAGGGAGTATAATTCGTAGGGGAAAGCACTAAGCCCGTATGGGGTTCTACATCTTCTAGGAAATGGGAACAAGCAGGTTTGATCCCAACAGAGGCTCTCAGAACCAATGTTCTGTCAGAGAGTGGATAAAGGAGAACCTGGGAAAGGGTCGAACCCAGGGGGTTATCAACACAGTCTTACCCTTAGGATAATTATGATGACTAGAGCGATGACTGCGAGTAACCAGGATGATCCCTGCGAGGACTCCCAGCAGGGGTGTGACTTCTACAGCCAGGGCGTCGGGAGACACTCCTGTAGAAGCAGTAGGGGGGCGGTGGTGAGGTCTCTGTTGTGGTGCACTGCAGACAAGCTTGACTGCAAAGATGTAAATTACAGGACGAGCCTTTCATTGGTACAACGTTTCGCTCTGTGTGGAGGCTTGGCTGTACGCTGAGCGAAACGTTGTCCTAATAAGTGTTTGTTTCGTAAAGAGTGTGTGACGTTCTAAGGAATAAGTCAAGCCTTGTTCTGCCTTTACTGACAGTGTCACCCATCCCTTTCTCCCTTCCTTTTTCCTCCCATTCTTTCTCCCTCCTTTCCTCTCTTCCTTCCTCCCTCCTTCCTTCCTTCCCCCTCTCTCTATGTCCTTTTCCTTCCACTGTTTCTATTTTTCCTGTCTCTTTCACCTTGTAGTTTTTGAAAGCCCAAGCATTTTTACTCTCTCTTTCTCTTCTCTGGACTACTGCTTTGCAATTCTGATAGTTTCATTTCTATTTCTCACTTCTTTTGTCTTTCTGTGTTTGTTTCTGTCTGTCTGTCTACTGTCTTTGTTTTGCGATCTGTTTGTGTTTCTGTCTGTCTCTCTACTGAGTTCTGTGATCGATATATGTTTGTGTGTGTGTGTGGGTACTCACCTAATTGTGGTTGCAGTGGTCGAGTTATAGCTCCTGACCCTGCCTCTTCACTGGTCGCCACTAAGTCCACTCTCTCCCTGCTCCATGAGCTTCATCATACCTCTTCTTAAAGCTATGTATGGATCCTGCCTCCACTACATCACTTTCCAGATTGTTCCACTTCCTGACAACTCTATGACTGAAGAAATACTTCCTAACATCCCTATAACTCATATGAGTCTTTACTTCCAATAGTGACCCTTTGTTGCTGTGTCCCACCGCTGAAACATATTGTCTCTATCCACCTTGTCAATCCCTCTCAGTATTTTATATGTCGTTATCATGTCTCCCTCTATCCCTCCTGTCCTCCAGTGTCGTCAGGTTGATTTTCCTTGTCTGTATGTGTGTGTGTGTGAATGCATGCCTGTCTCTCTGTCTCTCTTTCTCTCTCTCCCTCCCTCCCTCCAACTGGCACTACTCACCAGCAGAGCCACCACTGCCTAGACGCGTCTCTAGTTGCTTGACCGGCAGCTTCTGCGTGAGTGCCACTAGTCTGGTAATTCCACTTCTACCCTTGGCATTACCAGCGTACACGATCAGTTGGAATTCCGACTCGTTATCCAGACCCGTCACCACGAACCTGTGGAAGATACCACATGATCTTACCTTCTGAAATCATAGTGTAGGCTGGGTAGGAAACTAGGACTCCTTCCACGCATTCGACTGTTTAATTAAGCCCAGTATGTGGGCGAAACGTTGTCATTAGTAGAGGTATCCACTGCATTCATATATCATTTGCTCCTCCTTTCGCTTGGTTGATGGGGTTTAAAAATCTGTCTGCTACACGAGGGTCATTAAGGGTGCCTGCTGTGCCACTGAGCTACGGGTAGATTTACTGCGTTAGCTACTGTGACACAGAAACAGAGGGGCCACTGATGGGGGCCACAGATGAGGGGCCACAGATGGGTGTCACAGATGGGGCCACAGATGAGAAGCCATGGACGGAAAACGTAAAGAGACGTTATTTTCGGATGCTTTCTATTAGAAACCAGCGTAGCTCAGCGGTAAAGCACTGGACTTGCCAACCACCAGGACCAAGGTTCGAGTCCCGTGTCCATCTCTCTGTTTATTTATTTACTGTCATTGATGTTGTACACACACACACACACACACACACAAAACATATATATATAATATATATATATATATATATATATATATATATATATATATTATATATATATATATATATATATATATATAATCATTCCAATACTATAAAAGCTATATATATCTATAGATCATAGCATCCACAACGTATATAAATATTGCAGATTTCACTAGATCCTAGAAAGAAATGTAAACTCAAAAAAATTTTTGACACGTTACTGCCAAATAAATTCGAGTCATCAAATTATTTCCAACGTAAATGTGGAGAGTAAAAGCAAAAATTATTACGAAAAAAGTTACGAAATTTTGACAACTCAAAAATTTCATACCTCATTTGCAATGAATTTCACGACGGACAAAGCTTGTAAATTTTATATATATATATATATAATATATATATATATATATATATATATATATATATATATATATATATATATATATATATATATATATATATATATATATATGTATTATATATATATTTATGGGAGAGGTGTCGTGGGTTATTTTTTCGAAATTGACATTCGAGTCTAACGAGAAAAAAATTTACGATAACGTGACGTTGAAAAATTTCTCTCGTTACAAAACTGAAAGAATTGTTCGACCTTCGTTAAGTACAATAATAAAACGAGAATAAAACGAGTATAAGATATACCAGAGTGATGATAAATGATAATTAAATGATAATAAAGTGAATACAGAGATAATAATAATAATAATAATAATAATAATAATAATAATAATAATAATAATAATGATAATTTAAAAATAATAATAACAATGATAATAATAATAATAATAATAAAATATAATAATAATGATAATAATAATAATAATAATAATAATAATAATAATAATAATAATAATAATAATAATAATAAAAGTTAATATCTCTCATTGTATATACATCGTCAAGTTGATGTTTCTCATTATATACATCGTCAAGTTGATGTTTCTCATTAAAATACATCGTCAATATGTTTTCATTATATACATCGTCAATTGATATTATAATTCAATATATAATACATCGTCAAGTTGATTTTCTCATTAATACATCGTCAAGTTGAGTTTCTCATTATATACATCGTCAAGTTGATGTTTCTCATTATATACATCGTCAAGTTGATGTTTCTCATTATATACATCGTCAAGTTGATGTTTCTCATTATATACATCGTCAAGTTGATGTTTCTCATTATATACATCGTCAAGTTGATGTTTCTCATTATATACATCGTAAGTTGATGTTTTCTCATTATATACATCGTCAAGTTGATGTTTCTCATTTATATACATCGTCAAGTTGATGTATTCCATTATATACATCGTCAAGTTGATGTTTCTCATATATACATCGTCATGTGATGTTTCATTAGATACATCGTCAAGTTGATGTTTCTCATATATACAACGTCAAGTTGATGTTCTCTTATATACATCGTCAAGTTGATGTTTCTCATTATATTACATGTCAAGTTGATGTTTCTCATTATATACATCGTCAAGTTGATGTTTCTCATTATATACATCGTCAAGTTGATGTTTCTCATTATATACATCGTCAAGTTGATGTTTCTCATTACATACATCGTCAAGTTGATGTTTCTCATTATATACATCGTCAAGTTGATGTTTCTCATTATATACATCGTCAAGTTGATGTTTCTCATTATATACATCGTCAAGTTGAGTTTCCTATTATATACATCGTCAAGTTGATGTTTTCTCATTATATACATCGTCAAGTTGATGTTTCTCATTATATACATCGTCAAGTTGATGTTTCTCATTATATACATCGTCAAGTTGATGTTTCTCATTATATACATCGATAGATTAATGTCTCTCAGCGTATATACACTGAAAGTTTGCTTTAATCTATATTTTAAGTATTAAAGTATTCTTGACTGGTGGTGAACAGGTGACCTGCAACATTGTGTGGTAGATAGGTTTAAACCCCAGTAACCAGATACACTGAGAGTTGTATATGACTCAGTGGATATGTGTTAGTAATTGACATTCAGTGGGATTTAAAGGGTCACTGACATGATGGAGCTCCAGAGTGTGTGCGAAACAGCGGAGCATCATTTCCTTCACCTTGTCGGCACCTACACACCAAACACGATTCCAGTGAGCGAAACTCTTCCCTAGCCTGCGTTTCCACCGGGCGAAACGATACCTAAATAATAATATTCTAGCCCTTAATCAAAATAGAAAGAGATAGATAGAACTTCTCAATGGATGAGAAATAGATGGACTTCCAAGACCCTGGATATGTCTCACTCGTGTGTAAGACTAGTTTTATACACACTTTCTCACTCTTTCTCACCTGGACCTCACGATATACAGTCTCTCACTCTCTCACCTGGTTACCTTGATATAAACTTTCTCATTATCTCACCTGGTTACCTTGATATAAAGTATCTCATTATCTCACCTGGTTACCTTGATATAAAGTATCTCATTATCTCACCTGGTTACCTTGATATAAAGTATCTCATTATCTCACCTGGTTACCTTGATATAAACTTTCTCATTATCTCACCTGGTTACCTTGATATAAACTTTCTCATTATCTCACCTGGTTACCTTGATATAAAGTATCTCATTATCTCACCTGGTTACCTTGATATAAAGTATCTCATTATCTCACCTGGTTACCTTGATATAAAGTATCTCATTATCTCACCTGGTTACCTTGATATAAAGTATCTCATTATCTCACCTGGTTACCTTGATATAAAGTTTCTCATTATCTCACCTGGTTACCTTGATATAAAGTATCTCATTATCTCACCTGGTTACCTTGATATAAAGTTTCTCATTATCTCACCTGGTTACCTTGATATAAAGTATCTCATTATCTCACCTGGTTACCTTGATATAAAGTTTCTCATTATCTCACCTGGTTACCTTGATATAAAGTTTCTCATTATCTCACCTGGTTACCTTGATATAAAGTTTCTCATTATCTCACCTGGTTACCTTGATATAAAGTTTCTCATTATCTCACCTGGTTACCTTGATATAAAGTTTCTCACTCTCTCACCTGGTTACCTTGATATAAACTTTCTCATTATCTTACCTGGTTACCTTGATATAAAGTTTCTCATTATCTCACCTGGTTACCTTGATATAAAGTTTCTCATTATCTTACCTGGTTACCTTGATATAAAGTATCTCATTATCTCACCTGGTTACCTTGATATAAAGTTTCTCATTATCTCACCTGGTTACCTTGATATAAAGTTTCTCATTATCTTACCTGGTTACCTTGATATAAAGTTTCTCATTATCTTACCTGGTTACCTTGATATAAAGTATCTCATTATCTCACCTGGTTACCTTGATATAAAGTATCTCATTATCTTACCTGTTTACCTTGATATAAAGTTTCTCATTATCTCACCTGGTTACCTTGATATAAAGTTTCTCATTATCTTACCTGGTTACCTTGATATAAAGTATCTCATTATCTCACCTGGTTACCTTGATATAAAGTTTCTCATTATCTCACCTGGTTACCTTGATATAAAGTTTCTCATTATCTTACCTGGTTACCTTGATATAAAGTTTCTCATTATCTTAAATGGTTACCTTGATATAAAGTTTCTCATTATCTTACCTGGTTACCTTGATATAAAATAACTCATTATTTCACCTGGTTACCTTGATATAAAGTATCTCATTATCTTACCTGGTTACCTTGATATAAAATATCTCATTATCTCACCTGGTTACCTTGATATAAAGTATCTCATTATCTCACCTGGTTACCTTGATATAAAGTATCTCATTATCTCACCTGGTTACCTTGATATAAAGTATCTCATTATCTCACCTGGTTACCTTGATATAAAGTTTCTCATTATCTTACCTGGTTACCTTGATATAAAGTTTCTCATTATCTTACCTGGTTACCTTGATATAAAGTTTCTCATTATCTCACCTGGTTACCTTGATATAAAGTTCTCATTATCTTACCTGGTTACCTTGATATAAAGTATCTCATTATCTCACCTGGTTACCTTGATATAAAGTTTCTCATTATCTTACCTGGTTACCTTGATATAAAGTATCTCATTATCTCACCTGGTTACCTTGATATAAAGTTTCTCATTATCTCACCTGGTTACCTTGATATAAAGTATCTCATTATCTCACCTGGTTACCTTGATATAAAGTATCTCATTATCTCACCTGGTTACCTTGATATAAAGTATCTCATTATCTCACCTGGTTACCTTGATATAAAGTATCTCATTATCTCACCTGGTTACCTTGATATAAAGTTTCTCATTATCTTACCTGGTTACCTTGATATAAAGTTTCTCATTATCTCACTTGGTTACCTTGATATAAAGTATCTCATTATCTCACCTGGTTACCTTGATATAAAGTATCTCATTATCTCACCTGGTTACCTTGATATAAAGTATCTCATTATCTCACCTGGTTACCTTGATATAAAGTTTCTCATTATCTCACCTGGTTACCTTGATATAAAGTATCTCATTATCTCACCTGGTTACCTTGATATAAAGTATCTCATTATCTCACCTGGTTACCTTGATATAAAGTATCTCATTATCTCACCTGGTTACCTTGATGTAAAGTATCTCATTATCTCACCTGGTTACCTTGATATAAAATATCTCATTATCTCACCTGGTTACCTTGATATAAAGTATCTCATTATCTCACCTGGTTACCTTGATATAAAGTATCTCATTATCTCACCTGGTTACCTTGATATAAAGTATCTCATTATCTCACCTGGTTACCTTGATATAAAGTTTCTCATTATCTTACCTGGTTACCTTGATATAAAGTATCTCATTATCTCACCTGGTTACCTTGATATAAAGTATCTCATTATCTCACCTGGTTACCTTGATATAAAGTATCTCATTATCTCACCTGGTTACCTTGATATAAAGTATCTCATTATCTCACCTGGTTACCTTGATATAAAGTATCTCATTATCTCACTTGGTTACCTTGATATAAAGTATCTCATTATCTCACCTGGGTATCTTAGAGGTGATGTTGGCTTTGAGCGTGTGTGGGTTGGTACCGTAGACCTCCATAGCGAAGGTCTGGTTCAAGCCACCGTCAAAGCCAGGGTCACAAGCCACGGTAAGACCGCTGGCAGAGACGTTGAAGAGGGAGCAGTTGGTGGGCGCCTGAGGCTGTGCTGTGGGATCAAAAGTGTGGAAATATATATGAATATTACGCTATTTTTTATTTTTTTTTACGATACCCCGGGTGACGCCATACGGCCCCGACATGGTGTGTATATTTTGAGTGTAAGTACGCTGGGGGAATATCTCTTAGTGTATGTACACCGACGGGTGTATATCTCTCACTGTTTGTACACTGAGGGGTCTCTCTCAGTGTAAGGTTAAACTAGAGAGGGTGGGTATCCCTCAAAGTGTATGCAATTACCATTCAGTACTACAATCCTCCAGTACTACAATCCTCCAGTATTACAACCCTCCAGTACTACAACCCTTCAGTACTACAACCCTCAGTACTACAATCCTCCAGTACTACAATCCTCCAGTACTACAATCCTCCAGTACTACAACCCTTCAGTACTACAACCCTTCAGTACTACAATCCTCCAGTACTACAATCCTCCAGTACTACAATCCTCCAGTACTACAATCCTCCAGTACTACAATCCTCCATACTTACAACCTTCAGTACTACAATCCTCCAGTACTACAATCCTCCAGTACTACAACCCTTCAGTACTACAATCCTCCAGTACTACAATCCTCCAGTACTACAACCCTCCAGTACTAAACCCGTATACACCCTTCAGTACTACAACCTCAGTACTACAATCCTCCAGTTACAATCCTCCATACTACAACCCTCCAGTACTACAATCCTCCAGTATACAATCCTCCAGTACTACAATCCTCAGTACTACAATCCTCCAGTACTACAATCCTCCAGTAACTACAACCCTCCAGTACTACAACCCTCCAGTACTAATCTCAGTACTACATCTCTCAGTACTACAATCCTCCAATATTACAATCTTCCAGTATTACAACCCTCCAGTACTACAACCCTTCAGTACTACAATCCTCCAGTACTACAACCCTTCAGTATTACAACCCTCCAGTACTACAATCCTCCAGTATTACAACTCCTCCAGTACTACAATCCCTCCAGTACTACAACCCAACTACAACCTCAGTACTACAATCCTCCAGTACTACAATCCTCCAGTACTACAATCCTCCAGTACTACAATCCTCCAGTACTACAACCCTCCAGTACTACAATCCTCCAGTACTACAATCCTCCAGTACTACAATCCTCCAGTATTACAATCCTCCAGTACTACAACCTCCAGTACACAATCTCCAGTACTACAACTCCAGTACTACAACTCCAGTACTACAACCCTCCAGTACTACAATCCTCCAGTACTACAATCCTCCAGTACTACAACCTCCAGTCTAACCTCAGTATTACAACCCTCCAATACTACAATCCTCCAGTACTACAACCCTCCAGTACTACAACCCTCCAGTACTACAATCCTCCAGTACTACAATCCTTCAGTATTACAACCCTCCAGTACTACAACCCTCCAGTACTACAACTCTCCAGTACTACAACCCTCCAGTACTACAATCCTCCAGTACTACAACCCTCCAGTACTAAAATCCTCAGTATTACAACCCTCCAGTATTACAACCCTCCAGTACTACAATCCCTCCAGTACTACAATCCTCCAGTATTACAACCCTCCAGTACTACAACTCTCCATTACTACAACTCTCCAGTACTACAACCCTAAAGTACTACAACCCTCCAGTTACTACAACCTCCAGTACTACAACTCCTATACCTCCAGTACTACAATCCTCCAGTACTACAACCCTCCACTACTACAATCCTCCAGTACTACAACCCTCCAGTACTACAACCCTCCAGTACTACAATCCTCCAGTACTACAATCCTCCAGTATTACAACCCTCCAGTACTACAATCCTCCAGTATTACAACCCTCCAGTACTACAACCCTCCAGTATTACAACCCTCCAGTACTACAATCCTCCAGTACTACAACCCTCCAGTACTACAACCCTCCAGTACTACAACCCTCCAGTACTACAATCCTCCAGTATTACAACCCTCCAGTACTACAATCCTCCAGTATTACAACCCTCCAGTACTACAACCCTCCAGTACTACAACCCTCCAGTACTACAACCCTCCAGTATTACAACCCTCCAGTACTACAATCCTCCAGTACTACAACCCTCCAGTACTTACAACCCTCCAGTACTCAATCCTCCAGTACTACAACCCTCCAGTATTACAACCTCCATACTACAATCCTCCAGTATTACAAACCCTCCAGTACTACATCTCGTCCAGTATACAACCCCATAATACAACCCACCAGTATAAACCTCAATACTACATCCTACATACTACACCTCCAGTTATGTACAACCCTTCCATAGCTACACAATCCTCAGTACTACAACCCTCAGTACACACCTCCAGTACATACATCCTCAGTATACAACCTCAGTACTACAATCCTCCAGTAGTACCCCTCCAGTATACAACTCCTCCAGTATACAACTCTGAGTATCTGCACCCTCCAGTATTACAACCTCCAGTACTAAAGTCTCAGTATTACAACCTCCAGTACTAATCCTCCAGTTTCCGCTCCAGTATAAACCCTCCAGTTACAACTCTCGCAGTACTTACACCCTCCGTATTACAACCTTCAGTACTACAATCCTCCAGTATTCAACCCTCAGTACTACAATCTCAGTATTTACACTCGTCGTGTAGTCAACTCGGTTATCAATGTGCTAGTATCATCCTCCGTTGTTCAATGTCCAGTTACTTCATTTCTCCAGTTTAACTCGTATACAACCTCGTTCAACCCCACTCAGTACTTACAACCCCTTCAGTACTAACTCAGTAGTTCCCTCCGTATGTTCCAACATATTTCCTCCTTATAACTCACGACAACGTGTCTTTAGGTTAGCACAGGTGTGATACGCTGGTGTCAAGAATGTAGCAATTACTTAATAACATATGGTTTAAAGGTAACGCATTCGTAATTAGGAGAGAGCGAGTATAATCTGCGCCGCAGAGCAGCGCAAAATATAACCCACCTGAGGGTAGATAATCATACTGGCTGGAATTATACTCAGTTATGGTATGATTATAGGCAACAAGAGATTTGTTTAATGACAAGTGTAAGCAGGTCCACGGTACATATATTTTCTAAATATATATATACAGCTGATGTGGCCAGTGTGTGTGTGTGTGTGTGTGTGTGTGTGTGTGTGTGTGTTGTGTTGTGTGTGTGTGTGTGTGTGTGTTGTGTGTGTGTGTGTTGTGTGTGTGTGTGTGTGTGTGTGTGTGTGTGTGTGTGTGTGTGTGTGTGTGTGTGTGTGTGTGTGTGTGTGTGTGTGTGTGTGTGTGTGTGTGTGTGTGTGTGTGTGTGTGTGTGTGTGTGTGTGTGTGTTGTGTGTGTGTTGTGTGTGTGTTGTGTGTTGTGTATGTGTTGTGTGTGTGTGTGTGTGTGTGTGTGTGTGTGTGTGTGTGTGTGTGTGTGTGTGTGTGTGTGTTGTGTGTGTGTGTGTGTGTGTGTGTTGTGTGTGTGTGTGTGTGTGGTGTGTGTGTGTGTGTGTGTGTGTGTGTGTTGTGTTGTGTTGTGTGTGTGGTTGTGTGTGTGTGTGGTGTGTGTGTGTGTATGTGTGTGTGTGTGTGTGTGTGTATGTGTGTGTGGTGTGTGTGTGTGTGTGTGTGTGTGGTGTGTGTGTGTGTGTGTGTGTGTGTTGGTGGTGTGTGTTGTGTTGTGTGGTGGGGTGGATCGCGTTCCTGGTTGTGAATTGGCCTTAATACACACTGCATCCAAATCGTGTTGCTGTGTGTGGTTGGTGTGTGCATGTGGTGGTCGTGGTCGGTGGTGTGGTGGTGGTGTTGTGAGTTGGTGTGGTGGTCAGTGGTGGGCGTTGGTGGGTGGCGTGTGGTGTTGGTGGTGGCAGTGGTGGTGGGTGGTGGTGGGTGGTGGTGGTGGTGGTACGGGAGTTGTAGTGTTCAAAACAGATCAGTAGCTGGAAGCACAGGATAGTCTTTTCGAAAAATAACAAAATATTCCCAAAGACAGTATTCCCTAGTAGTATTACCTTACGGTATTTCCTGGTAATATTCCCTGACAGTTCTCTCTGGCAGTTATTCCCTGGCAGTTCCTGGTAGTATTCCCTGGCAGTTCTCCCTGGTAGTATTCCCTGGCAGTTCTCCCTGGCAGTTCTCTCTGGTAGTATTCCCTGGCAGTTCTCCCTGGCAGTATTCCCTGGCAATTCCTGGTAGTATTCCCTGGCAGTTCTCCCTGGTAATATTCCCTGGCAGTTCTCCCTGGCAGTATTCCCTGGCAGTTCCTGGTAGTATTCCCTGGCAGTTCTCCCTGGCAATATTCCCTGGCAGTTCTCCCTGGCAGTTCTCCCTGGTAGTATTCCCTGGCAGTTCTCCCTGGCAGTATTCCCTGGCAGTTCCTGATAGCATTCCCTGGCAGTTCTCCCTGGCAGTTCCTGGTAGTATTCCCTGGCAGTTCTCCCTGGCAATATTCCCTGGCAGTTCTCCCTGGTAGTATTCCCTGGCAGTTCTCCCTGGCAGTATTCCCTGGCAGTTCTGTTATTCCTTCAGTCTCCGGCAATATCCCTGGCAGTTCTCCCTGGCAGTTCTCCCTGGTAGTATTCCCTGGCAGTTCTCCCTGGCAGCATTCCCTGGCAGTTCTCCCTGGCAGTATTCCTTGGCAGTTCTCCCTGGCAGTATTCCCTAGCAGTTCTCCCTGGCAGTATTCCCTGGCAGTACTCACTGGCAGGGATAATCTGGAAGACACAGGGAACAGTCTGTCTGCCGACCATATTCTCCGAAGAGCACATCAGGGTACCATAGTCCAGGTCCGACATCGGAGTGTAGATCACAACACTGCGACCTCCAAGACCAACTGTGAATTTTTCCTGAGGAACCTCCAGGCTCTCCGCCGTGTTATTGAACGTCCAGTAGAACCTCGTCACCTGTAACGTGTGGAGAAGGAACCATCAGTGTCCAGCTGCGTGAACCATCAGTCCAACCAAAGGAACAGGAAATGGTGTCAGAGATAAGTGGTAAGTTCTGGAGCCATCAGAAGTGGGAGAAATACAGGCTTTCCTGGTAGTCAGTGGCGAAAGCCGACGAGTGGGAATATATTATCACTTCAAATACAACGTTTCGCCCAAGGCTTGATTAAGCTTGATTAAGCCCAGCCTTGGAGCGAAATTTGCTTTTAAATGGATCTTTTGTTACCAATGTCTTTATTCCAGGGTTTGCTACCGTAGCTACAAGTCTTGTAGACTGGACGCCACCAGCATAACTCTGTTGTCGTAGCTACAAGTCTTGTAGACTGGACGCCACCAGCATAACTCTGTTGTCGTAGTTACAAGTCTTGAAGACTGGACGCCACCAGCATAACTGTTGTCGTAGCTACAAGTCTTGTAGACTGGACGCCACCAGCATAACTCTGTTGTCGTAGTTACAAGTCTTGTAGACTGGACGCCACCAGCATAACTCTGTTGTCGTAGTTACAAGTCTTGAAGACTGGACGCCACCAGCATAACTCTGTTGTCGTAGCTACAAGTCTTGTAGACGGGACGGCCACCAGCATAACTCTGTTGTCGTAGTTACAAGTCTTGTAGACTGGACGCCACCAGCATAACTCTGTTGTCGTAGTTACAAGTCTTGTAGACTGGACGCCACCAGCATAACTGTTGTCGTAGCTACAAGTCTTGTAGACTGGACGCCACCAGCATAACTGTTGTCGTAGTTACAAGTCTTGTAGACTGGATATCTTACTTGGGCACCTTGATCACCTACTTAAGGCACAACATCCACCTGACAAGTCATCTGAGAACCTGAGAAGACACCTAGGTACCTTGATCACCTACCTGAGGCACAGCATCCACCTGACAAGTCACCTGAGTACCTGACAAGTCACCTAGGCACCTTGATCACCTACCTGAGGCACAGCATCCACCTGACAAGTCACCTGAGTACCTGACAAGTCACCTAGGCACCTTGATCACCTACCTGAGGCACAACATCCACCTGACAAGTCACCTGAGTACCTGACAAGTCACCTAGGCACCTTGATCACCTGCCTGAGTCACAGCATCCACCTGACAAGTCACCTGAGTACCTGACAAGTCACCTAGGCACCTTGATCACCTACCTGAGGCACAGCATCCACCTGGCATGTCACCTGAGCATCTTCCAATTTCGAGACGCCGTAGACAGTGGCCTGACCCGGGCGGCAGAGAGGCGCATCTGTTGTGAGTTAAACTCTGTATTATTACGCATGTTGCTACCTTGCAACACAGACGGGGAATACACTGTAAACACTGTCTTGCAACGTAGAAGGGGAATACACTGTAAACACTGTCTTGCAACACAGACGGGGAATACACTGTAAACACTGTCTTGCAACACAGACGGGGAATACACTGTAAACACTGTCTTGCAACACAGACGGGGAATACACTGTAAACACTGTCTTGCAACACAGACGGGGAATACACTGTAAACACTACCTTGCAACACAGACGGGACTACACTGTAAACACTGCCTTGCAACACAGAAAATTGCAGTTGAGAGGTACCTATAAAAACACAAACTCATACTGAATTTATTACCAATAATCAAATGAATTATTCCCATCATGGAATTTTGTTGCAATATGAATCAGAATTATGGTTTTGTTGAATTGTGCACAGTTCTTAAAAAATATGATAGTTAGATAAATTATTTATATGTATATAAACTTGCTAGAGAGGTAGGTATATACACTGAGAGGTGGTTAACTGGATTTAAATCCTGTTTATTACACGAGGGTCATTAAGGTTGTTTGTAACCTGTTCATTACCTGTATTTATATTAATCCCTAAAAGGGAGCTTGACGTAAGCTCTCAGTGTATATACACTGAGAGATATTCACCTCTCAGTGTATATACACTGAGAGGCATTCACCTTTCAGTATATATAAACTGGACACAGACTAGGAGGGCTATGTATTTCGATCTAAAACTGAATCATCTTCAAGTTGAAAAAGTCAAAGAGCTTTTTAGAATTAAGTCCCTATGGGTTATTCTGAGCAAGGCTTGATGAAGGCTCGATCCTCTGTTCGCTGATAACGAAAGACAACCTCAAGAGAAACACTCAGACATTAGTTGATTAAAAAACGACTTGATAAGCTCTGCATAGAGCGAAAAGTCACAGTCCTTTATTACAACACCGTTTATGGCTCATTTCGAGGCCGAAATGTGCAACTCTCCTTTTCTGTTGCTTCGTTTCTATCTGCCTGTGAGTTAGGGTGAAAAGGCAACATGTGGTAAGTTACTATGTAAGATACATATACAAAACTTGAATAACTTTATTAATGAGACGTTTTGTCTGCCAGAGGAACGAGGAGGTTGTATCCAACACTGAGAATAATTGCTTAAGACAGTGCAAGGCGTGGAGGGATAATCCGGAAGTCTTCAGTCCTTCAGGATTGATAAAAGGTTGTCAGTGCATCAGTCTTTGATAGAAGGTGGTCAGTTCCTCAGGCTTGACAGAAGGTGGTCAGTCCCTCAGGCTTGACAGAAGGTGGTCAGTCCCTCAGGCTTGACAGAAGGTGGTCAGTCCCTCAGGCTTGACAGAAGGTGGTCAGTCCCTCAGGCTTGACAGAAGGTGGTCAGTCCCTCAGGCTTGACAGAAGGTGGTCAGTCCCTCAGGCTTGACAGAAGATGGTCAGTCCCTCAGGCTTGACAGAAGGTGGTCAGTCCCTCAGGCTTGACAGAAGGTGGTCAGTCCCTCAGGCTTGACAGAAGGTGGTCAGTCCCTCAGGCTTGACAGAAGGTAGTCAGTCCCTCAGGCTTGACAGAAGGTGGTCAGTCCCTCAGGCTTGACAGAAGGTGGTCAGTCCCTCAGGCTTGACAGAAGGTGGTCAGTCCCTCAGGCTTGACAGAAGGTGGTCAGTCCCTCAGGCTTGACAGAAGATGGTCAGTCCCTCAGGCTTGACAGAAGGTGGTCAGTCCCTCAGCTTGACAGAAGGTGGTCAGTCCCTCAGGCTTGACAGAAGGTGGTCAGTCCCTCAGGCTTGACAGAAGGTGGTCAGTCCCTCAGGCTTGACAGAAGGTGGTCAGTCCCTTAGGCTTGACAGAAGGTGGTCAGTCCCTCAGGCTTGACAGAAGGTGGTCAGTCCCTCAGGCTTGACAGAAGGTGGTCAGTCCCTCAGGCTTGACAGAAGGTGGTCAGTCCCTCAGGCTTGACAGGAAGTATACAATACGCCATCTTTGACAAAAGGTGCTCAGTCGCGTAGCTAAGGGATTAAATTCTCTCTCCATTTTTTAAACACTCTGCAGTATTTATTTTTTAACTGGCTTGAAGAAAGCCACAGGAATAGCGAAATATCTCATCAACAAAGACTCCCAAGTGTTGCTCTCGTATCTTATTCACTAGCTTTCAGATACTGTTTACCTAATCTAAACAGTAGGGGTACCCTTACACTGAACAGCCAGGGTGACAGGTGAGGATGTGGAATCTCCCTCCACATTACTAGCTTGACAGGTGTACCGTCCAGCATGTGCCCTGGTCACCTCCTGCACCACCAGGCTCCTGTTCGTCAGCAGTACTCCTCCTTCTTTCTCCTGACGCACTACCACACCCTGCAGGAGGCAGGAAGAACGTAGTGAGTCACAGACGTCACTGTTCACTTTAGTGAGTCTGTTAGAAGGCAAGTCTACTGAATTTACTAAATTCTAAATTAATGTTTTCTGGGAACGACGTTTGAATTTGTGTGTATACACACCTATTTGTTGTTGCAGGTGTTGATTCACAGCTCCTGGCCCCCGCCTCTTCGCTGGTCCATGAGCTTTCTCATACCGTACCATGTGTGTGTGTGTGTATACTCACCTTTTTGTGGTTGCAGGGGTCGAGACTCAGCTCCTGGCCCCACCTCTTCACTGACCGCTACTGGGTCCTATCTCTCCCTGCTCCATGAGCTTCATCATACCTCGTCTTAAAACTATGTATGGTTCCTGCCTCCACTACATCACCTGCCAGACTATTCCACTTCTTGGCAACCCTACAACTGAAGAAATACTTCCTAACATCCCTTTGACTCATCTGAGTCTTCAACTTCCAATTGTGACCCCTTGTTTCTGTGTCCCATCTCTGGAACATCCTGTCTCTGTCCACTTTATCTATTCCACGCAGTATTTTGTATGTCGTTATCATGTCTCCCCTAACCCTCCTGTCCTCCAGTGTTGTCAGGCCGTGTGTGTGTGTGTGTGACTGTGTATATGTATGCAAACACAAACTTTTAGCTATATTTGTGTTCTTTGTGTAACATTCCAACACTCCATAAACTCTGGGTAGACTTTTAAATAATTTATGAACACAACTGGGTTTGTGTTAGCTGCACATGTTAATGAACATTTTATGAACAAACACAACGTTCTTCACTACCCATGAACATCCGAACATCACCAACATTCTTCCCTACAGATACCCTGAAACATTTCGCAAATAACCAAAACTTACCACAGGAGACTTTAAACGATGTTTCTGTCTTGTCCTAACATGTTGGTTACTTGTGAAAGATATATGTATAACATATATGTATATATGTAGAATGTATCTAACATATTATATCTACGTATCTTTTCACACGACCGAAACATAGATCAGAAAAATATGTTATTACTGCACATTTCGACGATTCATTGACGTTCAAAACGTTCTCTGATATCTAGCATATTCACATGAACGAAAAGTGAGAAATTTCTTGGATTGAAATTTAAAATCCGTGTCCCACCAAGGCAGGGTGACCCGAAAAGAAAAAAGAAAAACTTTCACCATCATTCGCTCCATCACTGTCTTGCCAGAGGCGTGTTTACACTACAGGAAAGTATATACGTGTATATACTTACATTATGCTTCCATACAACCTTGTATGCTCGAGGATTGGCTTCGACACGACACTCGAAATACACGTCATCTCCTTCTCTTATGTTCCTTGGATTTAGAGAGGCACCTAACACTGCCTCCGCTGTAGGTGCGTCTGTAGGAGTTGCAAGAGATGGACCTAAATAACACGGTAGGTACTCATGAAAACATAATATCAAAACTCCAGGCCAGTGCGTTAACCACTGGGCCAGTTGGCTCCATAGGGAGGTTAGCATGGGCCACCACTGTGACCTCAAATGCAGGTTTTTACAGAGGAATCCCACAGCAGGGTGGCCGTGGGGGCAATGGGAGAGGGGAATATAACTAGAGGGGTGAGAGAGGGGGAATATAACGAGAGGGGTTAGAGAGGGGAATATAACGAGAGGGGTTAAAGAGAGGTAATGATAATAACGAGAGGGGTGAAATTATTGATTAAGAATATTGACTGTGTTACGAGGGACCCAAGTGCGTATTACCTCTTTCCCTGCCATCTTGCAAGCTATTTATAATACCTTGTAACCTTTAACACCACTACTACTACCACTACTACTACTACTACTACTACTACTACTACTACTACTACTACTACTACTACTACTACTACTACTACTACTACTACTACTACTACTACTACTATTAATAATAGTAGTAATAATAATAACATATATACAGAGATACAACTGAACAACCATAAATTTGTTAAGGCAACGTTTCGCTCAACGTCTCACACTATCACTAGATAAAACTCTCCGTCAAGGAAAACATTTCTTCGTATAACTTGAAAATGTTCTTGAGCGAAACGTTCTCGTAAATTTCTGTGTGTGTGTGTGTGTGTGGTGTGTGTGTGTGTGTGTGTGTGTGTGGTGTGTGTGTGTGTGTGTGTGTGTGTGTGTGTGTGTGTGTGTGTGTGTGTGTGTGTGTGTGTGTGTGTGTGTGTGTGTGGTGTGTGTGTGTGTGTGTGTGTGTGTGTGGTGTGTGTGTGTGTGTGTGTGTGTGTGTGTGTGTGTGTGTGTGTGTGTGTGTGTGTGTATGTGTCAAAACATCGTAGACAGAACAATACAAACCAAAAAATTCACATCTAACTCACTAATCAACCCTCCTAACTAACAAGCAAACAGGCCTATCAAACATGAGAAAGGCCTATGGGGGAGAAAAATATTTTTTTCCCTTGTCCACAGTAACATTATCACGAAAAGACACTGATATTCTGTACTCACAATAAACACTTAGCTTCCATGTATCTTCAATTACGGCCGTCGGTACATTACGATTCTCTGCTCGACACGCCAGCAGTCTGCCGTCGTCTGAGGCGTTGGGCGTCAGACGTGCCATAGACGTCGATACATTTCCCCCGTGAGACGTCTGTGAGATAGATCAATAACAGGAACGTTACAATAGACGCCTATTATTGTATAATGCTCAAGGTAAGCAGGTACGAAATTAGGAGTATATGGGTAAGCAGGTTCTACTGACATATATAAAGGTAAGAAATTAGGAGCATATGGTAAGCAGGTTCTACTGACATGTAAAGGGAAAAAAATAGGTGAACTAATGTATACCAGCAGGAAAATTAGTGTATGGATCACTGAAAAATTTTCTTATATGGTGCCATACAAAGACTGGGGTCTGAAGGAGCAATGTGTGAAAGGTGTGGCACTCACCGTGTCATCAGCAGCTGGCACTCTGGACGACCCCCACCACCAGGTAAGAACCGCGGGGGGCCGCGACCCCCTAGATGAGCACAACACCTCGTAAGTCCGACCAGCGGATAGCGGCTCTCGGGGATGATGTATGACCACGTCCAACGGCCGTACTGTACCGGAACAGGAAGATACATTCATGTGCTATGTATTATGTGTTAGGTAAAAGGACACATGTACACATATAACCCACAAATAGGAGATAACAAGACCTAATCTCACAGGACATAATTTTTCAGAACATAATTTCTAGAACCCTAATTGTTTGTTAAGCACTTTCTGGGGACCCAGTTTCTCTAAGTAGCTGTTGAAGGTTACTGAGGTGAGAAGTGAGGTGACTTACGATTCATGTCTATGGTGACGGTGGTAGCTATGGGCGGTGATACCTGTGTATTGGAAGCTCTACAGGTGAGCTGTGACCTTAATAACGACCTGGTCACACCTGTGATTCTCAGGTCGTTACGAGTCTCGTCACCCTCACGAGTTTCAATAACATCATCTATAACATTGTCGTTCAGTAACCAGACGACACTGGGCGCAGGACGACCTGTTCACGGCAGAGAAAAAAAGATTGGGAAAATTTAGATTTTTAATAGGCCTGTTAACGTACTGCACTCGATCTACAAGCTTGTTTCAGTAGGACTACTGGCTCATTGTAGCAAATCTACCAGCTCATTGCAGTAGTCCTACAAGGTTATTTCAGTAGGTCTCACTCATATATCTATCAGAAGTCTCTGTGAAAGCTATCCTAGCCACATTCTTTAGTGACTCTAGTGGGAAGGTCTTCTCCACTCCACGAATTTTGGCGCAAGACAGATAACACAATATTACTCAAGAAATCGTAATGACACGATTGCAAACAAACCATACCACGGCCGGGATTGAACCCGCGGTCAGAGAGTCTCAAAACTCCAGACCGTCGCGTTAGCCACTAGACCAGCTAGCCACAATAAGATTCATCCAACTAGGTATATTTCTACACTATAGGAAGGCTAGCACAGGCACCACTGTGACCACAAATGCAAGTTTTTACAGACGAATCTCCAGCTAGCGTGGCCGTGACGAACTCTAGCTCAAGTCCCCTCAGAGCCGTCAACATGACTCACGAAATCGTAATGACACAATACACCGCTATCTTGGGATGAGGTTATCGTAGTGTGAAGTTAGAGTATTCTGAAGATATCATAAAATAAAAAGAATATATATATATATATGCAAGGAATTCGCGAGAGCATGCGAAATATACACAAACACTGATCTCTGGCTGAAGGAGACTCGAACCTACGAACCTTAGGACAAGGTACGCAGTGCTTTACCAATCTACCCACACTGGACAATACTTTGGCGTGTAGCATCCGCTACACGTTTGATCCAAGGCACCCAGCTTTCAGGGAGAAGGCTTACAGCTTTTCATCTCATCCCCTGCATGCATCAGCCTTACTAGAGATTTGAACAATGCCAGAGATCAGTGTTTGTGTATATTTCACACTCTCTCGCGAATTCCTTGCATTGTTCAAATCTCTAGTAAGGCTGATGCAAGCAGGGGATGAGATGAAAAGCTGTAAGCATTCTCCCTGAAAGCTGGCTGCCTTGGATCAAACGTGCAGCGGATGCTACACGCCAAGGTATTGTCCAGTGTGGGTAGATTGGTAAAGCACTGCGTACCTTGTCCTAAGGTTCGTAGGTTCGAGTCTCCTTCAGCCAGAGATCAGTGTTTATATATATATATATATATATATATATATATATATATATATATATATATATATATATATATATATATATACATTCTCTCTTGGGATAATTATTACCCAGGCAACACTAACATTTTACAAAACACATTATAGTAAGTTATAGGGATTTTTCTAACTGTTATAGGTCCGTAAAAGTCAGCAACCGGAAGCCTAATGCTATTTTTAAATTGTTTGGACGTAAACCTGATTTAAAAAAAAACAAGTTGGAATAAAAATCCTGGAGGAGAAAAATAAATAAAAAGGGTTTAATGTATATATAATATATAATATATAATATATATATAAAATATATAATATATATATAATATTATATATATATATATATATATATATAATTATATTATATATATAAATAAAATAAAAATATATATATAATATACAAAAGGGGATATACACTTTTTGCTCTCAGTATATATGCACACATTAGGAGATATACTGATCAGAATATATGCAGAGTGTATATATTCTGATTGGAAGGTATATTCCACCTTAATAGATGGTTAGATAGTTTTAACTAAACCAGATAAGAGAGGTTTTTCGTTAAAACTTGTGAATTAAAAAAAATGTGTAAACTATTAGATATGTTAAATTTGTTTGTGTAGACCACTGGGAATGTTAAATTTGTTTGTGTAGACCACTGGGAATGTTAAATTTGTTTGTGTAGACCACTGGGAATGTTAAATTTGTTTGTGTAGACCACTGGGAATGTTAAATTTGTTTGTGTAGACCACTGGGAATGTTAAATTTGTTTGTGTAAACCACTGGGAATGTTAAATTTGTTTGTGTAAACCACAGGGAATGTTAAATTTGTTTGTGTAGACCACTGGGAATGTTAAATTTGTTTGTGTAGACCACTGGGAATGTTAAATTTGTTTGTGTAGACCACTGGGAATGTTAAATTTGTCTGTGTAGACCACTGGGAATGTTTTAAAATTTGTTTGTGTAGACACTGGGAAAAGTTAAATTTGTTTGTGTAAGCCACTGGGAATGTTAAATTTGTTTGTGTAAACCACAGGGAATATTAAATTTGTTTGTGTAGACCACTGGGAATGTTAAATTTGTTTGTGTAGACCACTGGGAATGTTAAATTTGTTTGTGTAGACCACTGGGAATGTTAAATTTGTTTGTGTAGACCACTGGGAATGTAAATTTGTTTGTGTAGACCACTGGGAAAAGTTAAATTTGTTTGTGTAGAACCACGGGAATGTTAAATTTGTGTGGTGTAGACCACTGGAATGTTAAATTTTTTTTGTAGACCATTGGAATTTTTTAAATTTGTTTGTGTAGACCACTGGGAATGTTAAATTTGTTTGTTTTAGACACTGGGAATGTTAAATTTGTTTGTGTAGACCACTGGGAATGTTAAATTTGTTTGTGTAGACCACTGGGAATGTTAAATTTGTTTGTGTAGACCACTGAGAATGTTAATTTTTTTGTGTAGACCACTGGGAATGTTAAATTTGTTTGTGTAGACCACTGGGAATGTTAATTTTTTGTGTAGACCACTGGGATTGTTAAATTTGTTTGTGTAGACCACTGGGAATGTTAAATTTGTCTGTGTAGACCACTGGGAATGTTAAATTTGTTTGTGTAGACCACTGAGAATGTTAAATTTGTTTGTGTAGACCACTGGGAATGTTAAATTTGTTTTGTAGACCACTGGGAATGTTAAATTTGTCTATGTAGACCACTGGGAATGTTAAATTTGTTTATGTAGACCACTGGGAATGTTTTAAAAATTTTTTGTGTAGAAACCCCTTGGAAAAGTTAAATTTGTTTTGTGTAGACCACTGGGAATTTAAATTTGCTTGTGTAGACCACTGGGAATGTTAAATTTGTTTATGTAGACCACTGGGAATGTCAAATTTGTTTGTGTAGATCACTGAGAATGTTAAATTTGTTTGTGTAGACCACTGGGAATGTTAAATTTGTTTGTGTAGACCACTGGGAATGTTAAATTTGTTTCGTAGACCACTGGGAATGTTAAATTCGTTTGTGTAGACCACTGGGAATGTTAAATTTGTTTGTGTAGACCACTGGGAATCTTAAATTTGTTTGTGTAGACCACTGGGAAAGTTAAATTTGTTTTGTAGACACTGGGAATGTTTAAAATTTTTTCTTTTGTGTAGACCACTGGGAATGTTAAATTTGTCTG